GAGAGAGAGAGAGAGAGAGAGAGAGAGGGGACGTCTTCTCTCTCTCTAACGACAAGGGGAAGAATGGGTGACTCAGGAATTCCTTTCCTTCGTCTTTACGAAAACCTTGGCTCCTCTCTTTCTCTCGTTGCGTCTGGCAGTTTTCTTAGAGAGAGAAAGGGTGAAGGAAAATGCCTGTTGGAGATCTGCAGAACGAAGGATTATTCCAGCACCATCAGATACATTTGAGATTTTGTTGGAGGAGAGAGAGGGTACGTAGGTTTTAGAGAGAGAGAGAGAGAAAGTTTTAGAGAGAGAAAGAGTGAGCGAGTTTTAGAGAGAGAGAGGTGATGGGGGCCCAACTGGGAACGGAAGGGAGGTATTTGTGAGGGTTTGGCTTGGATTTCGGTCCGCTTCTCAAGTGATAACGTGGTTTACGTGGTGGGCCCTCGAGTGATGCTCACTGTAGTCCCGCTTTTTTCTACGGTTCACCTTTCCACTCCCTTATCTGCCCTACCTCATTTTTCACCTTGCCATTAACATTCCCCAACCCCGCGAAGTTGAGCTATTTGTACTCCATCAGGGAGTATACTATCCATCTACTCCGTCACACACTATAAATATCTTTTAGATCCCAAATTTTGGGAACTAGAATTAGAAAGCGAGAATAAAATAACTCTTATTTTCTATTCGCCTAGTAGAATGTTCAATTAACTATTATTGTCTATTTGCTTAGTCACCTGGTTTTCATTCCTACCACTAACACTACCCTGTTAATACTTTAAAAAATCTAACTTTTAATCTACTTAAAAAAAAACAAGTAGAAGCCTGAATTACCCAAAAACAAAAAGAAGAGTGCATTGGAACTATTCAAATTTTTGAGGGAATAATCTAAATGTTCAAGAACTCAAAATCTAATTCTTCTATGAAAATAATTATCTAATTATAATTAGATGGACCCTAAAATTTCAAATAATGATAGAAAAAAAAACTCCCAAATAAGTGTTTTGCCTTGGGTAGTAAATATGGAGCATGGTATACACACTCTTTCATCTTGAGAATGCTATGAGACACACATCTACGACCGGGAGGAAATCTCATTTGATATTTTGCTCTGAAAGAATATTTTGATATAATATTAATATAATTTGACAAATTACTTATGAGTTTTTTTTTTTAATTTCACAATGCCAAAAAAACACGTGATCTTGAATGGGAGTAGTTGTAAATCGGTAGAATGTTTGTTCTTGTCTCATCAGTGTTTTGATAAATTTCCTTATATTGAGTTATCTAGGGCATTTCTAAAATGTTAAAACAATGTTCGACTTTCTATTTTTGTTGTGTACAGATGGGAGCTTGGTTTTGTGTTTCCTCTAAGAAGTATGGTCCTTCTTGGGTTTTCTAAAACTTGACATGTTCTTCCTTGGGATGGACAGATGCTTCCATTAATGGCTCTCTAACCTTAAAAAGAGGCATGCCAATGAATGTGAGGAGTTTCTTCAGGTGGGTTAGGCAACATGGCAAATCTTAATCCTTATTCAAAAAGAATACGGGGGGCTTTTAGAAGGGAGTGAAATGCTCCTGCTCACGTGCACATAAATCCTCCTGCGGCTCTCATTTAGGGTTTTTTTTCTCTCTCATTTCTAATTTCTCTCTCATTTCACGAGGTGGAGTCATGAATCCCCACCCTGTTGGACACATGCTCCTGCCCTTTATCCTTCCCTTTCATCAATAGTTGGCAATATGGGTAAGAATTGACTCGATCTGGATCCTAAACGTGGATTTTAGACCCTATTCGGATGGAGATATGGATCCAAAAGTCAGATATGAATTGAAACATGGATCGGATATGAATGCATGAGGATCGGATGCAAATCCGATCCCGATCCAAATCCATATTCTTTTAATAATTTTTATTTTTTATGTATACTTTTTTAAAATAGTATATATAATCGGGATCCAAATCCGATGGATATATATCTGGATCCAATGTATACAATTCAGGTATCGAACTAGATCTGAATATCTATGATCCGATTTGAATCAAGATCTGATGTAACTATTTGGATCCAAATTTGGATCTGGTCAGATCCTGATTTGGATCTGGTCAAATCTGGCCCCAATCCGACACGTTCTCACCCCTACTTAGCAAAGGGGGACTATCAATAAATCAGCTCACCATAAAATTGAAAACAAATCTTTTTTATTTAAAACGTCGGATGAAAAGGTCTGGTAAAAAATACAGATATGCAAAAATACTTCATGTAAGGATATCACCAATATATCGGACCAGGCTAAAAAAATCAGAGTTGAAAAATCGGGTTCTCTGTTTCTAGAGAGAGAAAAGGAAGAGGGTCATCTATTTGGGTTCCCAGTTCTATGTTTCTAGAGAGAAAAAGGAAGAGGGTCATTTGGGTTATCTGAATACTGATTTTTAGAGAGGTACAATTTGGGTGCTTTGTTTTTAGAGAGAGAAAAAGAAGATTTGGGCGCTCTTATTTTTAAAGAGGCGCAATTTGGGGGCACGGGCAAGATTGGGGATGTTGATTTTTGCTTGGGGATACTGATTTTTAGGGAGAGAAAAGGAAGAGGGGTTTTTCATTTTCCTGAGGAAAAGCAAAGATGAAGGATTTGGTTCGGGGAAATAATCTTGTTACTTTTGTTATCACATAATCAAAAACAAAATATTGATCACTCTCTGCTTCTCATTCATCAGTACAAGAGTACCTTTTGAGCATAAACAGTATTTTCATAAAAACAGTTATCACAAATAATCACAGAAATTTGAATGCATATGATTTTCTTTACTCAATAATTTTCTTTACAAAATGATTTGCTATACAAAGTATTTCATTTACACAACAATTTTCCATAATAACAATTGAAATCTGCATCTATTTGTTTAAGTTTTACAAAAACAAGACATACCTTCAATCTACGGCGGTGGCTTTGAAGAAAACGATTGCAGCATAAACCCTAAGATAATAGACCCTAACAATACATAAACACATTGGAAATAAAAAAATTTATTTTTAGTTTTTTTTTTTTAGAAATAATACTTTTTTTAGAAAGCATAAAAATAGCATTGGCTACAATACACAAAAATGGAAAAAAAAAATATCTTTCAAAAAAAAATTATAGGTAAAAAAAAAAGATACGATTTTTTGGTGTGGTTTAAATCGTTTTATGAAAAAATCGCATTATAAACATTTTTATGAAAAATACTCGATTTTTTGCGAACCTTTTTAAAAAGTCAGTTTTAAACGCTTTACATAAAGTCGCAAATTTTTTAATAAAAATCATCGTTTAATCAACGATTTGCTAACTATGCTTTCAACATCCCAAAAAAGGCCCATCAATTATAGGGGACAACCAGCCGGACTTGCATGGGACACCCTAGGTCATAGTCCCCATAGGAAGCCTACCCTGACCGGGCCAAAAAAGGCCTTGGCCCTAATCCTATCAAGGTCGGACTGGGCTAGGCAAACACAAGAAAAAACAAAGAAAAAGGGGGTTGGGCAGGGCCGAATTATCCTCAAGCCCTAGTTGCCCCGGCCTTGGCCAACCCTTAGGCCACATTTTGTCGCCTAGTTTTTTAGGGCCAAGCTGACCGGGTGGGCTAAGCCACCCTGTCCATTGCCGCCCCTACCTGGTTGCTCTAGTAAAATTTATATATAAAAAAAGACCCCTGGATATTAGAAAGAGCCAAAACGTTATGTGCTCCCTTGGGAGCACAAGGTCTATTTATTCCTTTGTAATAAACTATTGACACTCTTTAAATGTGCGTTTTACTTTGATTGTTTAGAGTCTTGTCTCTATGCAAACCGTACCCAAAACTAAAAATTCATATTAAAATTTCCATTTCAGGTGGTGCTTTCGCTTGTGGACTTCATGTACAGTCTCCTACACCAAGAGCAACGTAGGAAAAACTACTCGTGGTCGTCTGGTCTCCCAGGTGCCAAAAAGGTGCATCTATCGGGAAAATGGGACAAGATTCTCCATCACTGGGAAAATTTCATTTCCTTTGTTTACTCCCTCAGGTTACACCTAAGGAGTACTTTTGGTCCATAATTTTTTGGACCTTGATGGAAACCTCAAAAAAGAGTAAAATGCACACTTTGTGTGCCGGGAAACTTCATATTAGCGGCTAGGTCGTGATGGTAGCAGCCCGACACTCAAGTCACCATATTGTAGTTTTCATTCCCGACGACACCACCCCATTAACACCTTAAAAAAAAAAAACTCCTAAATTATTTTAAAAAATAGGTAGGGGTATGTCTTCCTCATTGAATTACCAAAAATAATAATAATAATAATAACAATAACTCCTAAATTATTTGAAAAAATGGGTAGGAGCTTGTCTTTCTCACTTAATTACCAAAAAAAAAAAAATATCTTCTTGTTGTTAGATTGTCAAATTTAAGTCTTAAGTACTCATTTCTCTTAGAACTAAATAGTTAGTCATTTCTGCAAATCCCAAAAGTTCAATTCAAAAGAAAAGTCTTAAATAACAATTATGAGAGGGAATAAATGTATAGTCTGCTCCCTCTAGAATATGATACTGACA